CCCTGAAGACGGATCTGATGGTGGCAGAGATGACTCAATTTGCTTGGGTTCAAGAGTTTCCGCCCAAGATTCATCCCCCTCCGCCCAAGATTCATCCCACACTTCTTCGTCCTGATGGGTTGGTCGAAGGTCCGTAAACCAGCTCCAGGCGTCGGAGCCTGAAGGATCCTCAAGCGGTTCACCATCCAAATTCTGACCATCCCAGCTGGAGTCGTAAGACGTGTCCGCAGCGGTCACAGGCGATATTGTCAAAGCCTTGCATGTAGAGTTAACTTTTAGGGTCCAAAAATATATTGCGACCAATTGCTGGCGCAAGTTAATGCCCATAGAAAATATTGCAGAGATGCCGGGTTGGTTTGAATCATGCATCGTTTCTTAAGTACACACACACACATATATATATATATATATTTATGCCAAAGGAACATCAGGATCCAAAGTCTTGCCATTTGGTTTCTCCTGCAAGCGAGCCATTGTAAGAATTCGGTTAAACTAAAACTTTTACTGTACTCGTTGTTTGTTTTCCTGCCTGTCTTGGTTGGATTGAAGAAGCAGGGTTTTGAACCAGTGACGCGAACACCGGTCCTCCCCCAAACGCAGAGTTGCTTCGGAATCACCTTTTGGCAAAGGAGGTGCCTCACGGAAAACAAGAAAGTATTGAAAGTTGTTCAAAAATCGGGAAAAGAGTGAGCGCCAGCGCCATCACAGTGTGTTTTTTCTGAGGTGATCTGCCTTCAGCTGTTGCGATAGCTCATAGTCATGCTGGCCTCTGTATTGAGAATCTCGGTCCTGGCAGACGGGCAGCGAGTGGAGTGGGGTCGCAGTTGTTTTTGCTCACATACTTCTCAACTTCACTTCAAACATGTTTTTATTTGCGATCGTCCTGAAAGAAGACATCATACTCTAGCGTATCCATGTCGTCCACAGACATCGAGGAAGTCCGGCGCCAGAAGTTGCGCCTCCCCTTTTGGGTAAGGCCCTGTATTTTTTTGGTTTGCTCTTCGAGCCAGACACGCCATGTGAAGCCAGCAACCATGGGAACTGACAACTGGTATTTTTCCATCATCCAAGAAACCGATTTCTTGATCAATTTCTTCGTCCAGAATCGGCGACACTGAAGACCAAGACCCGCAGCGTCAGAACGAAAGGATTCAAAAGATTCCCTGGTGCGCCGGACCTTTAGGTTGTCATTTCGAAGGATCTCACCTGTTCTGGACAGGTACTCACCTCCATCATCCCTCACAAAGTGCCTGTAGAGGCTACTAGCTATCAAATCTATCTCACTTTGCCGGTCCATGTTTGAGCCGCTCACACCTGAGGATTGGGTGCGCCAATCGTCAGCTGCAGCGGTGGATCTCAACTACCGCCGTGAAAAAATGCGACGAGTTCCGGGGCCGATCCGATCCATACGTCCATGTGCACACTAGTATATATACGCACAGCATGTCCCTGCAACAATGGGCCCCCCTACAGTAGATGGACCAAATATTCAAACCCATGTGTCAATAACTGTCGCCAATCCCTGACCCCCAAAGGTCAATGTTGAACATAAATTGATTGAATTTGCGTTTCCAGGGTTTGATTTGTTTCGTCCATTCGCCGAAACATTCTTGCAAGACCTCTAACATTGAGCTTTGGGGTAGGAGGGGTCCTCGTGGTTGAAAGGGTTTGAATATTTCGTCCATCTACGGTAGTTAAAGCACTTGTAACTTACTTGGTGAAGTTACAAATTACTTAAAACTAAGTTAGCTGGAGGGCTTCGTAAGTAAGATGTAACTTAAATGTAACTATTTTTAAGTTCTATAAGTTCTAATTGGTGATTTTTGCTGTTCAAAAACTATGTTTTTCAGGTTTCCCAGTAGCAAGGCCCAAATCGAAGGACATCGAAAAACTATGCTTTTTTACCTGGAAAAGCGCTGCTGTTGCAAGGTTTTTTAATGTAGAACACTCACCGCGCCGCTTTGCTGAAGAAAAGCAAAAAGCAAAACAAAAAGACAAACAATGCGTTTCGAATTTCTTCGGTGGACCACCACCCCGCTAAAAGAAAAACACTTTCTACTTTAAACCATCAAAACGCATGAGAAAAACAGAACACACACACAATGACCTACATCTGTGTGTTAGGAACACGCTGGGCGGTGGTCCGTCCAAAAAATTGAAGGCGGTGGTCCGTCCAAAAAATTGAAGGAGGTGGTCCGTCCAAAAAAGTTGATAGCGGTGGTCCGTCCAAAAATTTTGATGGCGGTGGTCCGTGCAAAAAGTTGTGGCCGGTGCCCCAAAAACGCGGTGCACCCTGATGAACAAGAGGGTATATGTACAGTAGATGTACGGTAATGTACGGTAGATGTACGGTAATGTACGGTAGATGTACGGGAATGTACGGTAATGTACCGTAGATGTACGGGAATGTACGGTCATGTACGGTAGATGTACGGTAGATGCGCCGTACATCTACCGTACATCTACCGTACATTACCGTACATTCCCGTACATCTACCATACATTACCGTACATCTACTGTACATATAGCCTCTTGTTCATCAGGTTACATCAGATCTTTTGAGGGACTGTGTGTGTGTGCGTCTTGCGATGCGTCACGGACAGGCAAGGATCTACTCCTCAATTTTGGGGCGTGATCCAGCTTAATGGCTTCTAGTTGTTCCATGGCCTACATAATGGATTTGTTGCACTATATTCTACTACGTGTGCGTGTTGCATGTTTACGTGTTTCTGTGTGCAAAGTACTACTCTGTCATACGGGTGGACAACCACCCCACAAATTATTCACGACTAAAACATAAAAAACAATCGCGCCCATAAAAACAGCAAAAATGTTTCCAAAACAACACAAAATACAACGATTTGCTAATCAGTCTCAGTTCTACACAAAAGTACACAAAAAAAAACATTAAAAAACGCTTCTCTGCAAACCCGTCCGCCAAAAAACATAGTTTTTTCAATGCGAAAACCTAAGTTCCCTAAGTAAGTTGTAAGTGATTTAGCACTAATTTAGCACCCTCCAACATAAACTAGGATAACTTACTTATATATATCGAAAGTAATTTGCAACTGCAACGTAAATACCACCAAGAACTTAGAACACTTCACAATCTTAGACCAGCTTACAACATCAGTTAACCCATGTTATAACATATGTTACGGCACTTTACAAGTTCTCCAACTAGGGGGGCCCATTGCTGCGCCAAACAAACAACATACCCTGAACAAAAACTGTTGAGAGCTGTGTACTTTTACATCGCACACCCCACCACAAACTGCCACGGATATGAAAAAACTAATCCTTTCCCTGCAAGTATTAATGCCTTAGTCTTGTCTATACGAAATCTGTCTTAACAAAAGCAACTTCGAAAGGGATTGAAGAATGAGTGTCCAGAAGTTCTTATTTAACCATGTTTGGCCACTGTGCAAAAACCACAACGCCAGTCCATCTTTCAAAAACAGTGGTCTTAAATAAGGTGGGAAGCTCTGTCAAACGCAGCGACGCGCGTGAAAGCAAGCAGCTGTTTTACCAGGCCTGAGCCAAACACGTCAGTCATGTCCATACAGCTTGCATTTGGAAAGGCAACTTTTTCATGTGTCCAGTTTTTGGCATGAAGCTGCGACGGGCATATGGGCATACATTAATTGCTCAGGGAGCCATGCTGTATGAGTATCCTTGCGGCGCGTTTTGCTCTTTGAGTACCGTCAGCAATTTGGGTACCATTAGCACGTCCTGGTAGATTTGCCGAAGTAGAGAAGTTTCACTACCTTGAACGCAGAACGCACTGCGGTACTACTTGTAGAAATTCCTGTTTAGATGGCAGATTGCACATACATCCCGGACAGACTCGAAGAACAGGTTGGGTGTAAATTTTCCCTGTTGTTGGTATTTTGTGTACAGCCGAGTTCTGTCCATGGCACATTCTGCTGCCATTTGGGTTTGCAGGGCCCTTGAGCTTTCCCGCGCTTACGCCTGCGTGAAAACGCCGTTGAACGTCGCGGTCGGGACCAATTTCATAGTCTGTTTAGTTGCGCCCCCAGCAAACATGGACGCGGTCAGCTGTAAAGACGGCAACCTGCAAGAAGGCTTGTTGCCGCTATAAAGGCCTCAGCGACTCAGCGAAGAAGGCAATGTGTTTTGGGACTGCCCCGCCGTAGAGTTGACGTGGTCGACGAGAGGTTGCGCCGAAACGAATCGACGCTGACGGGTTCAGTGAAAAGGGCATGTGTGGCGGTGCCCTGTGTGTGATCGTTTTGTCAAGGCTTTGGGGAAGGAAAAAGGCACGAGCAAAGGAGTGCTATCTAGCTAGGTCCGGCCACGCTGCTGTAAAGAAAATACGTTGACAGACTCTGTTTGGGGCTGGTTACTGGTTTGAAGTAAAGACTTTGCGAATGTTTGTTTTGCTGTAAAGACGAAGTGCCTCTGCAAGCCGAGCACATAAAAGATTGCATCGACGGCATTCTGCAAGATGTACCTTTCAGTACGGAGTTGAGATTATACTTGGCCTAGCCATGTTGGCAAACGACATGGCCTCACATGGCAATGACTGCCACGTGCAACCAGCAAGTGCGGCAGATTCAAAAATGCATTGTTTGACTTCATTCTAACAACCATTATATATATAACTATAGAGTTCTCAGTGTCTACGACGAGGGATGGTTTTTGTCTCCTCCCTTCTCATGTTTTGTGCCACCAAGTCGGGGGAGAGAGCATCGTAACTTACAGACAAATTCATCTTGAGCACGGATGATGATTAGGTGCGTCATTTTTGAGAATATCAATGCATTTAGCTGGCAGGGTTTGTTCAGGAATGTTCAGGATCCCGACGGGAAGCCCATTGATTGGGACGAGGGAATATGCTTTTGTTTGGAATTGCACTGCCAGACGTGGCAAGAATAATTCTTGATGACATCGTTGAACTAGTAGGTATACAAGCCTTTGCATTATGCAGCCAGTGAGACCCAAAGGTAAAAATGCATTTCTAAACGTGTTATTGCAGGACGTCAAGCTTCTTGCTTGCAGTAGTCAGCTCCTGCCAGAGAGACATTCACATAGAGCGTCCATTTATATGTGTTGAAATTGATTGTGTGCATCGACTAGGAATGGCATGGACCAGTGGACGACCAAAGATGCTTGGCGTTTTTGAAGCGGTCGGGTGTGCTTTTGGCTGTAGGCTAAGCAAGGTTTGACCTGCAACCAATCCGTGGATGCGTTGGGTCTCATTGACGATTTGCCGGGTTGTGGGTCCTTTAGTGCTGCCTCAACTGCTTTCAGCTCCGTCCATGTCCATGTCCAAGCCCTTGCACGTTCCCTTCCAACTGTGTTCATTCCTTCCGCTGCCGTTGCCTGTCTACAACATCCTTGCAACTCTCAGAGCGGCGCAATTTTCTCCACTCCCCTCAGCTGCTTTCGTGTCCTTTCATTCATACTCACATTCGAATTGCTTGACATATATTGGGAGGATTGCTTAGAAATTAGAAATCAATACGACGTAATACGACTATACCAGCAGCATGCCGAATGTACAACAAGCATCAACGAGCATTGTTTCGAAAGCCAGCCGGCTGAAGTTCCATATCTGCCAAGGAAGTGGGCTTTGCGGGTCGCGCCGAAAATTTTGTGGGAATTCACTGGTGTCTCTGGTGCGCGCCGGAGTGTTTGTTTTTGTTGAGCAGTCGGTGACGCTGGTGACCCAAGCTCTTGGGGATCTCTTTTTCCCAGGAGCGTTTCCGAAAGGATTCCTCACAGAAAGGGTTGCCATATTGTTGCCACTAGTGCACTTGCCCCTCTAAATCTGCAAGCAGCAGACTTTGCTTCTAGACTGCTGTTTGACATGTGCTTGTATTACAGGTGTTGTTCTAGACTTGTATGCACACCTTCGGTGCCTCTGTACACTTTCATTTGCAAAAATCAACAATCAACTTAGCCACCAAGTGGGTTGCTGCTGGCCAAGTGGAAATGTTTGGCTGGATGCTACCATTGCCTCTCTGACTTTCACCAAAGGTGCTGCAGGAGAGAGCACTTGTCTCACCCCATCAGCATTGTCTTCGGACATGCGAAAATTTCAAGGCCATCCCTGCCATTGCGCCCAACAAAGGCACAGCCATTATAGGCATGGCCCCAACATAGCCAATAAAGGCAGAGCCAATACAGGCCAGGATGAGGCCAGGTAGCTTATTGATTTGGATTGCTATGCTGGCTTGCAGCCCAACCTGCACTGCGGCAGTGAGCCAACCTTGAAGTTTCACAGCCAGAAAATCTTCGCCATTATTCCCCACATCTTAGTGTGGGGTTCTTCTTTTCTAAGTCTCACTCCGCCTCTTCCCGGCGCCTCCTCCCGCCCCTCCGCTCCTCCGCTCCTCCCACACACCACTCATCTCACACACCACTCATCACACACCACTCATCTCACACACCACTCATCTCACACACCACTCATCACACACCACTCCTCTCACACCACTCATCTTACACTACTCATCTCACACCACTCATCACACACACCACTCATCTCACACCACTCATCACACACCACTCACCACACACTACTCATCTCACACCACTCATCACACACACCACTCATCACACACCACTCATCACACACCACTCCATCTCACACTGGTGGTTGCTTGGTCGGCTCAATGGCAGTAGATCTGGCTCCGTTAGAGGGTCTGGTGGTTGCTTGGTCGGCTCTGGTCGGGTGTGGGCGCCGGCGACGCTGTTCCATGGTAAATCGCAGTAGATCTGACTCCGTTAGAGGGTCTGGTGGTTGCTTGGTCGGCTCTGGTCGGGTGTGGGCGCCGGCGACGCTGTTCCATTGTAAATCGCAGTAGATCTGGCTCCGTTAGAGGGTCTGGTGGTTGCTTGGTCGGCTCTGGTCGGGTGTGGGCGCCGGCGACGTTGTTCCATTGTACATCGCAGTAGATCTGGCTCCGTTAGAGGGTCTGGTGGTTGCTTGGTCGGCTCTGGCCCGGTGTGGGCGCCGGCGACGCTGTTCCATTGTAAATCGCAGTAGATCTGGCTCTGTTAGAGGGTCTGGTGGTTGCTTGGTCGGCTCTGGTCGGGTGTGGGCGCCGGCGACGTTGTTCCATTGTAAATCGCAGTATATAGATCTGGCTCCGTTAGAGGGTCTGGTGGTTGCTTGGTCGGCTCTGGTCGGGTGTGGGCGCCGGCGACTGTGTAGTACAACTTTAGTACGCGGAGTAGCTGTGGAGCTGGAAGCTGAGAACTGGCGAGTTTCTAGTACAACTTTAGTACGCGGAGCAATCTGTGGAGCTGGAAGCTGAGAACTGGCGACTTTGTAGTACAACTTTAGTACGCGGACTAGCTGGGGAGCTGGAAGATGAGAACTGGCGACTTGGTAGTACAACTTTAGTACGCGGAGTTGCTTGGCCCCGGGAAGATGAGAACTGGCGACTTGGTAGTACAACTGTAGTACGCGGAGCAATCCGTGAGCTGGAAGCTGAGAACTGGCGACTTTGTAGTACAACCTTAGTACGCGGAGCAATCTGTGGAGCTGGAAGCTGAGAACTGGCGACTTTGTAGTATAACTTTCGTACATTATGCCCCGTATTGCGGACGTGCGACAACCGCTGGTGTTGTTGGCTAGTTGTGGCTGCGCACACCTGTGTGCACAATACCTCGTACATCCGTCGTGCACATCACTCTCTTACACCTTCTCTCCCACCCCTCTGTTGTCGGAAGCTGATATCACTTCCTGACAAGGCCGTGTTGTAGAAGCTATTGAGACTCTGACTGCTTTGTGCTTTAGAAACTTAAGATTCGTAAAGATTCATATGTGGGGTTATCCGGTCCTTTAATGTATGATTTTCCTCTTCATTTCTTCGCTGTTAAGGATGTATTAAACTAGTTAACCAACTTAGTTAAATGGTTAGCCAACTGCTTAATAATTCAAGTAATACATGGTTACATAACTTCTTACTTAATTGGTTATAAATGGTTAATTAAACTACATAACTATCATATAACCGGTAACCGGTCCATCTAAGCAGGGGTCGGATGTACTCCCTGAGGTCGCTGGGTCGCCGCAGCTGTGCCGGTGTCTCCAAGGGGTCGGATGCACGCCCTGAGGTCGCTGGGTCGCCGCAGCTGTGCCAGTGTGATTTGCGTGGCAGGTGCGGTACTTGGTGCTGTCCAAGGGGTCGGACGTACGCCCTGAGGTCGCTGGGTCGCCGCAGCTGTGCCGGTGTGATTTGCGTGGCAGGCGCGGTCCTTGGTGCTCTCCAAGGGAGCGGCAGGTTTGCGGGTCTGAGTTGCGTGGCAGGCGCGGGACGCTCTGCCGGTGTCTCTTCTGTGCTCGTGTCCCTTCCCCACATTTGGCGTGTGAGGTTTTTGTTTTTAGTGTTGTATCCGCTCCTTCCCCCTCCTCCTCCTCCCGCCTCCCGCTTGCCACCAACCAATTGTCATCAACCAATTGTCATCAGCCAATTACTACCCACCAACTGTCACCAACCAATTGCCACCCAATTGCCACCAACCCATTGCCACCAAGAAACTGCCACCAACCAATTGCCACCAACAAATTTCCACCCACGAACTGCCACCAACCAACTGCCACCAACAAACTGCTACCAACCAAGTTGTCACCCACCGACCACCAATTGTCCGCTCCTGTGTTTGCGAAGTTGTTATCATGTGGGGTTATCCGAACATGGGCCATATCGTACAAAGTCCGCACGTCATACTTTTTGGGTGCGTTTCCTGGGTCCTAGCCATAAGGCCTGTAAGGGTTCATTGTTGATGATGTTCGTCCAATTGCTGGAGTTCTTGCTGCGACTTGTGCCAGTTTTTTGAGGCTTTGAATCTGTTCACCTACTTGCGACACAATCCGCCAAAGCTTCAAGTAAACTAGTCTTTGCATTGGGTATGCAAAATGAAACATTCTTTATGGTGCTTGCCAAACATTGGCCTCCGTGACGGGAGGTCGAAGGCCATTCAGAACTGATACCCGTCGCAAGAAGGACATCGAGTTCTTGAATGACTACGGTTTGTTGACTGCCAAGCCTTGCATGTATGCAGTCAATATGAACAAGTCGTCGGCTCAGTTTCGGCTTAATCTTTGTTACTGGGAAATGGGAAACTCCGCAAATGACTCTGAGGCACGATTATTGCCGCAAGAAGTTGCTAAGAACAAAATTGATGAACAGAATGAACAGTGTTGCAAGCGGCAAGGTGGTTTTTGCACAAAAGGTATGCGGACTGAAGGAGTGGCGCGTGCATTTGACTGAAAAGAGTAGAGCAGTTCCTAGGAACAAGTTCTTGAAGCCTATCTACGAGTGGGTGCAAGCAAACTCTCCGGGGAGTGCAATCATTCCATATTGCAGCTTTGCTGAGCCGATGTACCCTCCCTCATCCAGAAGGTGCATGTTCCACAGGTAGCGCCTTGTGAACTCCCTCCAGCAGCCATAGCATAGTTTGTCCGAACTCCCCTCAGAGCAACCAGTTGTTGTCGGACATTTCTAGGGCCCAGGGTATTTTCTTGCCTTGAAAATGTTCAGCATGAGTATATGAGGATGAACGTGCCGTGCAGAGGGTCAAAGTGACACGAAGACAAACGTTTCTCAAACAATTACACCACCGTAGGCCCCAAATAGGTAGGACAAGCACGAAGCATTCCCAAGTCCACTTTTGAGACATCAACAAGAAGGGAGACAAGAAGGGAGACAAAAGGAAACAGAAGGGAGATGGACACAATGGCCAACAAAAAGGGAGACAAGAAGGGAGACAAAAGGAAACAGAAGGGAGACAAGACGGACACAATGACAAACAAGAAGGAAACAGAAGGAAGACGGAATTGAGACAAGGCGGACACAATGACCAACAAGAAGGGAGACAAGAAGAGAGACAAGAAGGTGCACAAAAGGAAACAGAAGGGAGACAAGACGGACACAGTGACCACCAAGAAGGGAGACAAGACCGGAGACAAAGGGAGACAGAAGGGAGACAAGGCGGCCACAATGACCAGCAAGAAGAAGGGAAACAAGAAGAGATACAAAAGGAGAGAGAAGGGAGACAAAGCGGACACAGTGACCAACAAGAATGGAGACAAGAACGGAGACAAAGGAGACAGAAGAAAGACAAGACGGACACAATGACCAACAAGAAGGGCGAGAAGGGCGAGAAAAGGAAACAAAAGGGAGACAAGGCGGACACAGTGACCCACAAGAAGGGTCACAAGACTGGAGACAAAGGGAGACAAGAAGGAAGACCTGGCGGACACAATGACCAACAAGAAGGGAGACAAAAGGAAACAGCAGGAGGGAGACAAGACCGGAGACAAAGGGAAACAGAAGGGAGACAAGGCGGACACAGTGACCAACAAGAAGGGAGACAAAGGGAGACAAGCCGGACGGAAGGCGGACACGCTGTCCCGCAGCAAGGCTGACACTCTTAGAAAGCTTTGAGAACCCCTAACAGTAACCTGTTTGGCGAAGTGCACAAATCACCTGGGAGACAAATGAATAAAATGCTGCATGGCCAGGCGCCGAACCTGGGAGATGAATTCAACTGCTGCATGGCCAGCGGACAAGGGGGGACACCAGCAGCGACACAAAGGGCAGACACATCTTAAGAAAGAAATGATAACTCCTGACAGTAAACTGCTTGGGGAATGAAAAGAAATGTTGCATCGCCAGCGAAAAACCGCGGACACCACGAGTGACAGACCTGGGAGACAAATGAATAGACATGCTACATGGCCAACGGAAAAGGGCGGACACCACCAGCAACCAACCTGGGAGACAAGTGAATAGAAATGCTGCATGGCCAGCGGAAAAGGGAGAACGCCAGCAGTGATAGACCTGGGAGACACATGAATAGAAATGCTACATGGCCACGCGGACACCAGCAGTCACAGACCTGGGAGACAAATGAGTAGAAATGCTACATGGCCAGCGGAAAAGGGCGGACACCACCAGTGACAGACCTGGGAGACAAATCATCGAAACGCTACATGGCCAGCGGAAAGGGCGGACACCAGCAGTGACAGACCTGGGAGACAAATGCCAGCAGAAAAGGGCGGACACCACCAGCGACAGACCTGGGAGACAAATGAATAGAAATGCTGCGTGGCCAACGGAAAAGGGCGGACACCACCAGTGACAGACCTGGGAGACAAATGAATAGAAATCTTGCATCGCCAGCGGAAAAGGGTGGACACCAGCAGCGACAGACCTGGGAGACAAATGAATAGAAATGCTACATGGCCAGCGGAAAACGGCGGACAATGGTGGATGGCCAACGGAAAAGGGCGGACACCAGCAGCGACAGACCTGGGAGACAAATGAATAGAAATGCTACATGGCCAGCGGAAAAGGGCGGACACCAGCAGCGACAGACCTGGGAGACAAATGTATCAAAATGCTGCGTGGCCAGCAGTGACAGAGCTGGGAGACAAATGAATAGAAATGCTACATGGCCAGCGGAAATGGGCGGACACCAGCAGTGACAGGCCTGGGAGACAAATGACTAGAAATGCTACATGGCCAATGAACAGAAATGCTACATGGCCAACGAAAAAGGGCGGACACCAGCAGTGACAGACCTGGGAGACAAATGAATAGAAATGCTACATGGCCAGCGGAAAAGGGCGGACATGAATAGAAATGCTACATGGCCAGCGGAAAAGGGCGGACACCAGTTACAGACCTGGGAGACAAATGAATAGAAATGCTACATGGCCAGCAGTGACACAAAGGGCGGACACATCTTAAGAAAAAATTGAGAACCCCTAACAGTAAACTGTTTGGGGAATTATGAAGCCATCAATGCCTTTGATTTACATACAATGTGGGCATAGAAACATGTGCAGACGCACCTTACAGCAAGTGCGTCATTTGGGACAGTTTCATGCATCTTTGTGGTCATTTATGCTTGGGTGTTCAGACTCAGATGCATTGAGCAGAGCGAGGGCTTGAGGGAAATCTGAGGTGGAGCATACGAGGAGGAGCTGCAGGATATGGAGACTGAAGAAGACCGGGAGAAGCAGCTGAAGGAAGATGGCTTCTCGGGTGGAAAGTGCCAAGGGATGTGGTGACGATCACTCATGGGCTGCAGGCAACATGCCCTTTTTCCCAGCATGATCCTGGTCACCATGTTTGGGTTTCTGAGTCAATAAGGTGTGACGAGTGCCATGCCAAAGATGATCTCAACAGCTTTTCATATGGTGCCCCTTTTGCGTCGCTGCTTGCGTTGAGGCTTGAATTGAAGGATGCATTTGTTGAGAAAAGTTTCAGGTACATTTGATCAATTTTTTCACAGCTGGACCTGATGAAGTCAAAGCTTGGACAGTTCGAAAAGGATTCAAGGCGGTTCGCTCCAAGAGACAAGAATCAAGGTTGGTCAGCTACAATGCAAAAAGTTCAGGCATTTTTTTTGGCAGGCTCCACAAGCCGCTGGAGTTATTCACACAGATTTTGAGAAAGGCAGGAAACAGGATAATCCAAAGAGCGAGATCAATCCATAGCTCACTAGAGTGCTGCGTTGCCGCTGCTTGATGTGGCTGTTGCCCAGGCTTTATCATGGCCGAGGTCATGTCCTTTACTGATTTGAAGGAACTTGGCAGTGAAGCGAATGTCAAGGCCATTTCTTCCCGCAACATTCGGAATGGTCAAGACTCACAAGACGCATAAAGAAACTATGAGTTGCATATTCTAAGATACACTGTATACATATATTCGCATGGTGACCCCCTCCCGCACGGCTTCAGTTCATCATTGCTGGCAGCCACGTATTTTTCAGGCCACACACACACTCGAGAAATAGTACGTTCAGCAGAAGCGGTCCCCAGGGAACTTCGGCGTGAAAGGAAACCTCAGTAATCAAAAGCGCAAAAAAACAGGTTCTAGTTCCAATCGTTCAATGTACCAAGCACAAACCCGAGCAGTCAGAATCTAAAACCGCATGTTCCAACCATTCAGTGTTCCAAGTGGAACGAGACCGTGGGAATCATTCCACAAGTAACCGACGAGTAGCGGGAATTGGGTAGTGACCCTGCCTCATATCCAAAGAATCGCTCTGTAGATAAAATAAAGGTACAGCAGGTACAAGCGGTTGATCAGACTTTAAAAGCAACCGCTTATCCATCACTCCTGGCACATTCAGGAGCTCCAAGCAATCCCACAGCAGGTCATCCTATCCTGATCACAAATTGAACGACAATCTGGCCTAAGCGCCTCTCGATCACGGGCATGCAGGCGAGAACTGCACTTTTCTGCGAAAAATTACATACCAACCAGTATTGCAGATTCGCACCCCATCACAATCCGCGGCGTTATCGCCAGAGTGGACCAGGATTGGCCAGGTGAGTTTATTTCAGCTGGAATACCTGTCCGTTCTGTTCAAGACTTGTCGCATCTTCCTCTTTCGTCACATGCCCCAGGGCGCAGCTCAGGCTTGAATACATGAGAAGCTTTTGGCGCCCGCCGATCTAACCCAACGACCTAATCTTAATAGTGTGGTGAGCTTGGGCATTCGATGTCCTTGGCGACCTTCTGCAACTACAGCAATGACGACTTGGACTCGAACTATTGCGTCCACACACTTTGTCATTGTGCTTTACAATCTCTTGGAGTTTCTTGTCAGCCCATTGCTTCCATAGCTTCAATTCAAGATTCTCGACTTCGCATTTGGGTTGGCCCCAAAGGACGCCTTGCTAATCAAACAGACCCACGCACTCGCGCAACATTGCCCCACTTTTCTTCAGGACGCAAACAGCTTCTCGCGGGCAGAGGCCACACACTTCGACAAGCAGTGGCACGCGAGCCAGACTCAGCGTCACAGCTTGTGCGTATTCACAATCAATTGCAGAGCTCGACGACCCTTCGCCTGCTTGGAAAATGTTAGACACATTCAAGTTGCGACCCCTGAAAAGAGCATTGGGCAGCATCAGGGTGAGTGTTGAGGTGTGTGGGTTTGTTGAACCTGCGTATTCTTCGTGTTGCTGCTGTTGTCATTGGTGGAAGCAATAACAGCCGCCCAACATAGTCGTCGCATGTTGTAACTCTGCAACTTCAAGAGGACAAGGTTAGGGGTATGGTTGAAGGTTTGAGGGAATATTGGTTTCGCATGTAGCTGGACTTGTTGGACTTGTTACACTGAAATCTGGCTTGGTCCGTTTTTAGTGTTGAGGTTTTTTGGGTGGGGCGGGTTCGAAGAACAACAACAACAACAGCAGGGCTGCAGCCTTTGTGGAAAAACAACTACGAAGCTCCAGCTTTTGTTTCAGACAGACGGACGGATAGACAGATACTGTAGATAGGTAGATGTATCATATATATATAGAGAGAGATAGATAGATACATAGATACAACATGATACAAAGATAGCTACATAGATACATAGTTAGATAGACAGATAGACAGATAGACAGGTAGACAGATAGACAGGCAGACAGACAGACAGATAGATAGATAGTGCCGGTGGTGGTGATCGTATTCGTAATCGGCGTCGTTGTCGTAGTGATAGTGGTAGTAGTCACTAGTCGTCATGTAGCAGTAGTAGTCAGGGTAGTCATCGTCGCCGCCGTCGTCGTCATCGTAGTAGTAATTGCAGCAGCAGGAGTAGTAGTTGTTGTTGTTGCACTACAACAACAACAACTACTACTACCACTACTACTTATACTACATACTACTACTACTACTACTACTACTACTGCTGCTACTACTACTACGACTATATACTACTACTATATACTACTACTACTACTATTACTACTACCTCCTACTACGACTACTGCTACTACTACTACCACTACTACTACTACTACTACTACTACTACTACTACCTCCTACTACTACTGCGGCTACTACGACCACTACTACTACTGCTACTACTACTACTATTACTACCACTACTACTACTACTACTACTACTACCTCCTACTACTACCTCCTACTACTACTACTACTACTACCTCCTACTACTACTACTTCCTACTACTACTACTGCCTCCTACCACTACTACTACCACTACTACTACTACTATTAGTACTACGCTACTGCTACTGCTACTTTTTCCTTTAACAGCTCCAGTCACCGCAGCAAAGCTTTTAAACCTGGTTGCCAAGTTGCTTAAGTTAAGCCCTTCAATAATGACTGCGACTGAGACAATAACTAATGCTAATTCTAGTGCCACTATTAGTGCCAGTGCTAGTAGCTTGTTGTTTTAGAGGGGGTGTCCAAAAACAATCGTGGGGCTGCAGCTTTTGCTTCTAGCAGGGGGTAGAGGAAAAGTACATAAGAAGATGTGTGCTGACGGGGCTGCAGTTTTTGTTTGCGGGGGTTGACCTGCAAAACCATCAATCAGCAATTATCTGTTAGCATTTTGTTGAAAAATACAACACCAAGCCAATGCAGCAGGATAGCACAGATGGTCAGATAGAGGTGCCGTAGATGTGTGTGAAGGTTTGGCTGGAAAAGAGATTGCGCAGACAAGCTGCCAACGAGAAGACCAAAAAATGGACTTGGACCAGGGTCCAGCAACGTGTTCCTTCTAGTTCAACTTTGCGAACCAGTCGCGGCCAACCAGGAACACAACTGACCTACTGACTGACTGACTAAAATTGTGCGGTTTCTGTGGGCAGTGATTCGAGTGCCAGGCAGCCGGCAAGTACCGTCAGGAAGGTAAGAACTACGAGGCTCGCAAGACTCCAGCTGATGGGAATGTTGTACAAATCTTGATGCAGCGAATGACAGGTGCAATCTGGAGACGTTATTTTCTTCAAGTTCAACCTTGGCAAGGGCAAATGAGCGCCAGCTAGCAGGCAGTTTGCTCTAGACTCTAGATTTTGAGCGTGCCAAAGGAATGCCGCAGAGACTCGCTCAAGGAACAAAGCTGACTAAGCCGTGTACAGTGCATTCGCTGAAAACAGCATGTTGTCCCAGCAGCCCGCAGATGCAGTGAGCATTTGTTGCCCTTTTTGCATCACAGCGCTCGCCCCAGAGCCGGTGAGCGACGCATCCCTACTCATAGCGCAAACATCCATCGTTGGTTTGATAACAAAGAAATGTACTGTAAATACTTGCTGGTTTGCTCATGCCTATGAACTGATGAGGCTGCGAATGGCCACGCTCACCAAGGGCTTGCAGTAGGATGGCTCTAAGGTTTGCACAGCCCTCAACCATCACAACATGTTCCTCCAAACCACTTCTTGATTCAGCGGATTGATATTCAATGATTCAGAAAGTCAGACGTTCGTTCATGGCTCCCTGGCTTCGCTACGCAGGAAGGGAAGTTGCAAAATGGAACACATACTGTGTATTTTTTATTGTAGTTATATGTGTGTGTTTATATTTACTGTAGCTTGTTTTTCTTTTCACGAAAGCCAGCCGATAGGCAAGGCTTGAGGTTGCTGGAGCGAACGAAGTGTGTAAAGGGGGTGTGGGTGAGGGGTGGTCGCGAGGTGGCCAATTTTGGAGAGGTGAGCCCAGAGCCTGGTGGGGGAGAGCGAAAAAAGAGGTGGGCCACTTGGTGAAAAATGAGTGGTTTGAGGGGTGTTGTGATGCTGGTGATGTAATTGACGGCGAAGAGTGCATCATCAGCATCACGAGGGGCTCAGGAGGCCCTGGAAAGAGAACAGATTGTAGTTGCGGCTAAGCTTGGCGTTGCTGCCGGACAGAAGAGGGCACTCCCAATGCGGTGGGAGTTCACGTGGATTGGGTGGTTGTTGAGGGCAGGAGAGAGAAGAGATTGGAGCGGGCAAGCGTCGGAGGCGGAAAATGGCGGAAAGTTTTGAATTGCTTACGGATGCCCTTTTTGTCCGTGGCAAGGTCTAGTTGCTGGACTGAAAAGGGGACCCCCATATGGGCTGTATGTGCCATCTGTTGAGGGCCTGCGAGAGAATTGGACTGAAGAGGGCACCCCACGTGGATTGGGGGGTTGTTGAAGGCAGGAGAGAGAGGAGATTGCAGCGGGCAAGCGTTGGAGGCGGAAGGTCCTGAATAGCTCAGGGGTGCCCTTTTTTTTCCGTAGCAGTAGCAAGGTCTAGTTGCTGGATTGAGAAAGGCATCCCACATTGGGTGCGTGATGCCATCTGTTGAGGGCCTGCGAGAGAACCGAAACTGAAGAGGGCACTCCCTATATCTGGTGGGAGTTCAGGGGTTGTTGAGGGCAGGAGAGAGAAGAGATGGCAAGCGTTGGAGGTGAAAGGTTTCCAATTGCGTAGGGGAAGGTCTAGTTATTGGATTCAAAAGAGTGCCTTATTTGGGGGATGATGCCATCTGTTGAGGGCACCCTCTATAGCGATGGAGTTCACATGGATTGGGGGTCATGAGGGGCTCAGGAGGCCCAGGAGGCCATGGAAAGAGACCAGGTGCCAGGTGGTAGTTGCGGCCAAGATTAGCGTTGCTGCCGGACTGAAGAGGGCACTCCCTATGCGGTGGGAGTTCACGTAGATTGGGGGGTTGTTGAGGGCAGGAGAGAGAAGAGATTGCAGCGGGCAAGCGCCCTCAGCCCCGACCTATAGCTGGTCCAGCTTCAGCAACGTCAGCGCCATCCAGAAGCCGGGGCACTCAGCCACAAAGCCGCCTTGCCACCTTTATTGAGTCATATATGGTCTCGAGCCTGATGAACACTTCCGTCGGTCATGCGTTCGCAGTCAAGCTCCAGTCCCTACAGAGCAACTTCCGCTGTTAGATGACGACCTTTGGTTTGTTGCCGAGCTCTACGCCAATAGCCCAGCAGAACTCCCCAAGCGCCGGAAACACAGCTTGGGCATCCTCACGGAGCTTAAGCAGCGATGGCACTCCGTGACGAGCGCCTGACTGCTGACGATGGAGGATATGCTTGAGGACTGGGAAACCCATAATCATCGAACCATTGCAGCACTCAAACCAGGCCGCTACGATGACGTCCTCGTGGAGCAGTCCCTGGAAGATGCTACACAGGGGTTCTGCACAGAACCGCTCCGAGGCCAACCATATCGTCTGATTCCACGATGCATCATCGCGCAGTCGTCAGGGAAGAATCGACAACGGAGACACAGGCGCACTGTCTGAGCGCTCTTCCGACTGGGACAAGCTCGTGCTGTGCTCCCCACTGAGACCTGCGCAACATATCAGCGCGGTGGCCTCCCTCATGTCAGATGAACATTGGGCGGGGCTGACTGCGCAAGACGCATGGCTCTCAGGCGGCGAAGACTGGCCCAACGCCTACCGACATTCGCCGATCAGCCGAGACGAGAGCCGGGGATGCATTGTGTACTTCTAGCACGCTGATAAAGCGGAGCCAACCTTTCAGGTCTACTCCTCCTTGCTGTTCGGACCCCCTCGCCGTCACTTCGTTCAACAGATACTCCCGCTTCATCGAAGCCCTAGGACGGCGGCTGACGTACATTTTGGTTTCGTTATACTTCGACGACGCCCACGTCACCGACCTCCAGTCCGGCTCAGGTTCTAGCGAGCGTTCTGTCAGTTGAATTCCCCTTTGCGGAAGAGAAGAACAGTTGATGCAGCCTTTTGGTACCTTTTGGGGGCTAGACCATGACTTCACTTCTTTGGGCAAAGGCACCTGACCTTCTGGTTACGTGACAGGTTGCTTCAGAAAACCCTCGCTATTTTGAAGGTTCTTGAACAAGGAGTCTACGACCGACTGGGCTGCGCAGGGCTTGCTGCCATCAAGCTGACGCAAGAGATCCTGGGCAACTTCGATGTAGTTCGATCGATTCTTCACCACAGACCTCGTCGTGAACTTCCAGTGAGGCCGTTGCCATGCCTTCGTTTTGTAGTTGCTTCTGACGCTGCCCTGGAGGAACCCGGGCGGGGTACAGGGGGGTTTCTCATCGTTTGGCAGCATTGATGTGCCTCATCCGAGGGCGATCTCACTCTCCAGATCTCGAGCGCATGTGTGGCCTCATCCACATCATGTTGTACGCTTTTCGAACAAGGATGTATTGGGAATACATCCCTTCCAAGAGCAACTGGGCAGACGCGATCTCCCGGTTGGGTTGGCATGATCCTTGGTGGTGACCCAACGGATTCACACCTTTCTCCGTAACTTGCCCGCTTTGCCTCTGGCACCTGCCGCTACCCGCAGTGATTAGTGTCATGGAATTTCTCTAAGTGCGTTGGGAGTGGTTACCAGAGTGACCGGAGGTCAACCACTGTTGGTCTGACTGCAGTGCAGGTTGCCCAACGCAAATCCTGCAGAGGCTTGCAGGTTGACAGACGAGATGGAAAAGAAAGTGTGCCGGAGTGCCGGAGGTTGAGCTTGGATAGAAATGTAATCATGTTTCAGGTCTGGCAGGCTTGGGTGAACATGACTCATTCCTACCATAGCTTCATAACTAACGAATATTTTGGCTCAAGTGCCTTGGCCAAAATAGCGTTTGTCCCAGCCAGCCCACCCTGGTGTAAGGGCCCCCTCTGGGATCTCCCTTCCTCACCCTTGAAAGGCTAGCGGCTAGCTAGCTAGCCTAGGGCTCGCGCAGGGAATTGCGCTCTGTCACAGGCATTGGTGGTGTTACCACCTTCTACCAGTTTCTTTAAATCTACCCCCGGAGGTTGAGATTGGATAGAAATGTATATATACATATATATCCTCACCTACCCTACCCATAGCCTCGCACATCAACCCCCACCGCCGTCTTTGCTCACTGATTCGCAACACGCCGCCGGCAAGCGCGCCTCACTTCCTTATGGGTGCCCTTTTCACCTCCAAATCGCCCCTGAACCGGGACGAAAAAGGGCACCCCCCCCAAACCTATGTCTTCTACTTTCCATTTCTACCCCCTATCAGTGTGGCTGCGATGTCAACTTCACCCCATGAAATCAATCTTTGCCCGATGTTATCCCATCACTTCCTCTTGCGCGCCAAGTCTTTGCCCCGGCCTGGGTTGAGGGCACCCCCTAAGCCAGAGGCTGGCTTTCAACCCCTCCCTTCTCAGGTATCTATTATATATTTATTTACAGTTTTGTGTGTGCTGTGCATGAATGAACTATGATGAAATATGTCTCTTGCCAAGTCCCCTCCCTGACCTGGAGGGGCTCTGGGTTCAAAGGTTTCAACATGACATGCGCATTGTGGTAGTTTGCGTCAGCGAGCCTTGTCAAGCCAATGGCCTCCGCCAAAGGTTGGTTCTTTGTATTGAACGCACACCTTCGAGCAATCGCAAAGCGAGCTCGACTCAGCAAGTGTGAGTTGTTTTACAACAAAGCCGGGTCCTTGAGTGTTGAAGCGGAGCTGGCGTAGCAAACCCTTTCATGAAAGTTCCAGTGGCACGAGGCCTCCTTCCTTTGTTTTGTGATGCTAATTGAGTGGTTTGAGTTTTCTAAATATAACTCTATGGAATGAACACCTGTCCAGCGTAACATCTCGGTGTTTGTTCTTTTGATAGTCTTTTTAGACTACTTGCAGGTGCTACTGGCAGGAGCGTATGTCGTGCTGTGGGTTCTGATTTCCTCAGCTGTTGCGCTCTTGTGTTTTGCGCGCCCCACCCTCTGCAACCCTTTGGCACGCTGGGATAGGTTCTTTGCGCCCATGCTTGCCTGGCCGCGCTGACCAGCCCTGGCCACACTGACTCGGCACGTCCCTGAACTGTGTCGCAGGGCTCTGTGGCCGGGTCTTGTCTTCCTCTTCTCTTGTCTTCTCTTGTGGCCGAACAAATAGCGACGCCGACGCCGACTTAAAATCATTGATGAAGCAGTTTGCACTTGGTACGGTAGGGCATACCAAGAACTCGTTTTTGATTTAACACTGGTCCAAATGAATCGTTTTGAAACTGTTTGGGGGCTAGGCTACGCTTGTATAATTAAGGCATAGGCTGTGCCTTATCTTTCTTGTTTGCATAGGCTATACATTTTTTTTGCTTCCCATACCGCTTCATGTAAAAAGGCGTTGCTCTCTTGGTGCTTGGGAATTGGTATGTGCCTCTTACTCTATTGCGCTATAGATGCACCAGTCCCACAATTTTCTCCTGCTGGCCACTTCAGCCACCTCCTATACTTTGATGGTAGCTGAACCGAGTTTAGACGAAAACGA